CAGCCCATGGGTACATCCCAAGTCTCTTAATTGCATCCCCGTTTCCCTCACTTGTGTCCTTTCCTTGCCTCTTAGTCCCTCCCACCAGGGATGCATGGAGAGATGCAAGGAAACCATGCGAGGAGAGAGGAAACGAGGAAATATGTTTTAAGAGACATGAGACGTCCTTTCCTCAGTTGCGTCACGTGAAGCAATGTCTGTTTCTGATGACGGCTGCCGCTGATCACAGCTGGATCAGCTGTCAGTCGGCTTTAACAGCTGGAGAGACTTTTGAGAAGTTTGTGTCTGCACACACGATCACTGTACTTAATAATAGTAACTAATAATACTAATAACTTATAAAGACACACAGTAATCATCACTGTAGAGGTGTTTTCTCTCTGTAGTCTGTTACCTCTTGAACAAACTGTGTCCTGTTTATGAGCGCAGGATCGATTTCTACCAGCGGAATGTGTTTGTCTTATTTATTAATTATTTGTGTCTGTATGTTTTGAAATTGTGACTGAAGTCATTATTAAATAACCCAGAATATGATTCGTTTTCTGATTCACCATCTGGTTTAAATAATGTTCATTGTAGACTGAACAACAAAAGGACCACAAACAACTTTCTTCATTTATTAGAAAGTTTTGTCTTTTCATGATCTCATATTTCCCTCAAATTTTTTTTATTATGGATACAATTAAAGTCGGAGAGAAATGAAGAAAGTTGTATCACTCCAATCACAATCACTCCATATCTTCATTATCAGTCCCAATCATAATGCCATAAGAAAGTATCAGAACGTAAATTAATAAATTGTGTTCACCTATTAAACTTCCTTTTTTTTTTTTTTTTTGTATGAGTGGTGGATACCACCAATTGTCACGATCATTTTGGAAGCAATCAGTCGGATTCCTGTAAACATAAATACTGACACTTGTGCCGTGTTATGTTGCATGATAGATACTGTTAGGACTGCGTAAATGGAAGAAATAGGAGTGAACATCAACATAAGGTGCTTTGCATTGACCATTTATGGTTGCATGTGGGTGTGTAGAGGGCGGGATGTGAGGCTGAACCAGCTGCACACATTTACAGGATGATTTGGGATTTATAAAAGGAAGTTGGCGTATGTGCATTTCTTCGTTTGAATGTACTGTAGCGTGAACGGACCCCGCCCCGGGAAAAGCGTGACAGGCTTGCGCACCTAACACGGTGGTCACTCCAAACGGCTGTTCTTCCTGCGTGGGTTAGTTTTCTCCCGGAGGTGTCAGAACAATACCGTAGGCCTTTTATTTCACCCCGTAGCTAAATCGTTAGGATTTTCAGAATTATTGTCTTCCTGAGAGTCTTGTACGGCTAAGCCCTAGGCGCTCTCAGTAGGATGTAACCCTAGCACCCAGTATGAATAGTTATGTAGAACGTCTGTACTTTACTATTGCCTATTGCCTATCACCATTTCTGACTAACACTGCCAAGTCTTCACCCAGAATACTCACCTTTAAGTTACTCTGGTAGAGGCCGTCGTCACGTCTGTATCACATGGTTGATGGACAGGGAAAGAGGGTCAAATTGTTAAAAAAAAACAACCCAGTCTTTAATTTGGATTCAGTTACTTGCAAATGGTAAGGCTGTTGGTTTATTAAAGTCTTTCCAAAGCAATCACACATAACAATTTCAATTCAATGAGACAGTCTGTGTTACTAAAACTAATGCTAAATATCTCCCTTTTATCAGGGGTATCTATCTTCTATTAAAGAAATATGTCCCGGTCTCTAGAGATGGGGGGGGGGGGGGAAAGCTGAATCTCACAGTTTTTCTACTATTTTCAGACTAGTACCTCCCATAATCACATGGGTCACACATACAGGAGACATCTTGTACCAGAGTTAGCAACAGAATGTAACCGGTTGTAACTGGTTTGGTCCTGTTAGAACCAGATGCACTATATAAGGCTCAAGTGACTATGTTACATAAAGTGTCTAAGCAGGCTATATGTTTCTATCGCTTCTATCATGAAATAAAACAGTTTATATTCTAAATCACATTTAATATGAAATAAAACGGTTGATATTTTACGATGGTTATAAAAAGTAAACAACACAGTGGTGGGCCGTCAGGGCCAGCAAGGCCTTCTCTGCTGGCCTAGACAGAATCACAAAGTTATAGCCATTTTATAATTTAATAATTTTTCATAAATACACTACATGTGTTGTAATTTTTTCCCCATTAGCTTATTTTCTCATTGCACAGCTCCTGTCTTCCTCAGTTGCTCTGCTGTTAGGGGAGGCTCAACTGTCTTCACTGTTGAGCCTCCCCTAACAGCATTCATTGACGCCTTCTGGCGGTACAGAGAGCAGAGGAGAATTGCAAACGCGCGACCATGTAGAGACAGAAATTACATGCCGTCGTGTAAATAAGATAGATAACATAAGGCTATTTAGTTTGTTTAATAAAAGAACAAGGTGTAGACCTGTTCTATAGGAAAGGTAACTTTAAATTACTTCTATTGTGATCTGGCGCTATATAGAAAATAAAATTAAACAAAATCAACTTGATCTTCAAGGGGGGGGGGAAACACTGATAATGGTGGTGGCCGGTGCCATGTGGCAGTGGAACACCAGTGACATATCACGAAAAAATTGACATTTGAGCAGTGGTGGGCCGTCAGGGCCAGCTAAGCCTTCTCTGCTGGCCTAAACAGAATCACATTACATTACATTACAGTCACTTAGCAGACGCTTTTATCCAAAGCAACTTACAATTCAGATTCTATCACATTTCTACACCGTAGGCACAGCTATGGGAGCAATTTTGGGGTTAAGTGTCTTGCTCAAGGACACATCGACATGCGACTAGCAGAGCCAGAGCTCGAACCGCCGACCCTCTGATTGAAGGACGGCCCTGCTATCCACACTTAGCCACAGTCGCCACAAGATCACAAAGTTATAGCTATTTTATAATATAATAATTTTTCACAAATACACTACATGTATTATAAATTTTTTTTCCCATTAGTTTATTTTCTCATTGCACAGCTACTGTCTTCCTCTGTTGCTCTGCTTCCAGCACAGCTTGTTTCAAGGAGAGCTTTTATCCAATCAGATTCAGCCTCTATTTCTCTATGTAAGGAAGAGCAGTCCGAGGTCCTCTAGGTCAGGGGTTCTTAACCTTTTTGACCTCGGGGCCCAACTTTTCAAGTACAAAGTGGCCCGGGGCCCATTCAAATATTAACACTGTATTGGTTTAACTAATTGATCTCACTCTTGGTTTGATTTGTATTCAATAACTATATTAAATCCACTTACAGTTTAACAATTCATGGAACAAATCAAGCTAATACAAGAACAAATTTAAAGGCTCAAGTCAGGCTTATTAACTCAAAAATAATCAATAATTAGATTTCACTACAGAAAAAAAAGAGGGACTCTCAAAAAATCTGAGAAAAAATGGAAATTTGATAAATAAATAATATGTGGTAATAAAATAAATGCATTCAAAACAATAAGTTTCAAATTAAATAAACTATAAATAAAATTTAAATAAAGTGCAAATGAAAACATAGCCTTATCATACGTGAATTTAATTTTACATAGCGGAACCAGAAGTTGCTCTTCATATCTGTAACAAACAACAGTCACAACAGTCTTTTGACACGCTACAACTCCCTTTTTATGTCCACCTCTTAATGAGACACTTGGGCCTGCCTCTCAGACACGATCAGATCCAGTCTAGGTGGAATGGGGGAAAGGCTCACTCTCAAAGTAGCCTCCAGTGTTGCTCTGAGTCTGTTTCGGGCTTTGGTCTTAGTTGCGGCCACACGGGAATGTGAATCCTGATTCTCCAGTGTATGTGGTCGTGAATGGGAGAAGGTGTTTCACAGCCCTCAGTGCTAGACATGGGTACTCCTTTGAGACAGCAATCCAGAAGGAGCCCAGGTCCAGTTTGCTCCACTGCAACTTTAAAGTGCTGTCGCTGGAAACTTCCAGAAGCAGGCATTCCAGATCAAAGCAACATCATCTTCAGTGGGATCCACAGAAAATGGGTCTAAAATCCACATGTGTCCGTCTCTGGGATCCTCAGTAAAGTAGTCATTGAATTTCTCTGCCAGTTGTGAGAGGTGCTGAGAGACTGAGTCACTGATCTGCACCTGAGGAGAGTTTTCCAAAATGTCAGACAAAAGTGGAAACATGTCCATCCTCTTTTCCTGGGCCCTCTTAGTCCACAAAGCAAGTTTTTTTTTGAAAGCTTGAACTTTGTCTGCAACAACAAATATGTTGGTATTTCTCCCTTGACGTGAGATGTTCAGCAGTGAAAAATGTCAGAGGTAGGCAAGTTTAGCTGTGAACTTTGTGTCAGCATAGTAATGTGCCAGAGGAGATTTTTTCTCTGAGAAAAGAGAAGACCTCATTCCTCAGCTCAAACAAACGACTGAGAGCCATCTCACCTCACTGTGATAGAGCAGCTGGACATGATCTGCTTCCATATCCTCACAAAGCTTGGCAAAACATCTGGAGTTCACAGCTCTACTTTTAATGAAGTTGATGGTTTTCACACTCGCATCTATCACCTCATGGAATTCTGGGGACATATTTTTAGCTGCAAGGCTTTCACGGTGGAGAAAGCAGTGGGTCCATTTAGCTTCTGGTGCACGATAAAGTATCTGCCTGACGACGCCGTTATGCCTGCCGGTCATTGACGCTGCACCATCACTGCACACCCCAACACAGTTCTGCCAGTCCAGGCTGTTCTCAGTGAAGTAGTTGTCCATGCAATGGAAACATTCCTGAGCCGTAGCTCGTATTGGTAGCTCTCCACAAAATGGTATATCTTCGTGCAAACTACTGTCCCAGCGATAGCGAACAAAAACCAGCAGCAGTGCGGCATTCGTGACATCAGTGGACTCGTCTAGTTGCAAAGAGTAAAATGGGCTACTTTTTATTCTTTCCAGAAGCTGATGCTGTATGTCTGAGGCCATGTCCGCGATACGGTGACTCACAGTGTCGTTTGAGAGTGGGATGGTCAGCAGCTTCTTTGCAGCAGCCTCCCCAATCACCTCACGGCACATATTCACAGCGGCAGGCAGAACCAACTCCTCCGCTATGGTGAATAGTTTCTTACTTTGTGCCACACGTCTGGCTACGAGGTAGCTGGCTTTCAAAGCACATTTAGAGTTACCAGTCCGTGACACAACAGACCTTTTCTGCATTTGTAGCCCATTTTCCTTTCTCTTGAAAAATTCCACCGGCTTTCCCACGAGCGTTGGATGTTTCGTCTCTAGGTGTCGCTTTAGTTTCGAAGGCTTCAGTGCTTCGTTTGATAGCATTAGCCCACATTCCACACACTGAGCCCTCGGCTCTGCCTCGTTGCCTCCGTTCACAAAGCCGTACTTAAGAAAGTCAGGATTGTACTTGCGCACACATTTAGCCTTTTGGTGGGGTATGGCACCACTGTCGTCTTCATTTTTTCTTTTTTAAAACTTATCCATGACTTTCGCTACAGGCTAGCGGCTAGCTGAGTGTCTTCTTCTGCTTATTGTAGCTTGTTAAACAACTGACTGACTGACGTTGTATTTACCATACAACCTAATTGAAAATAAAAAAATGTTGGCCAGATGTATAAATAATGTGTACATACAACAACTACACAATTTCTACACAAAACTGACAATTATCAAAGTGGGAAGTGTGGTGAGAAAGAGGTGTAGACATGGTTTTCTAGAACAAACCCAGGGTAGAAACTATAAAATGAGGTGAAGGACAGAATATAGGAATACAACATTGTTTGTTAATGTGTTTAGCCAGTTTTACTGATTTGTATTAAATTATTTGTACATTTGTACATTTTCATATAACTTTTGTTTGCACTCAACACAGCATTCTCTAAAATCAAAGGCTAGTTTATACACTTAATTTTAATTTTGTCTTTGATAGACAAGCTATAGAAAGGAGACATTATTTCTAAACTCGTCCACCCTCTGGCAAACCGAAAGGACATAGCTGTCCTTACAGTGTTGAATGGTTTGTGTTAAGAGCTGTCACCGTGTGACTTGGAATCTTTGGCTCGATGTTCTGACAATACTTCTTCCAAACTTTTTACTCTCCACTCTAGGCTCAGCTGGTGGACCTGCGTTCTGAGCTGACTGAGGCTAAGGCTGAGCAAAAAGTGATAGAAAGGGAGGTCCATGACCAGCTCCTGCAGCTTCATGCTCTCCAGCTGCAGCTCCATGCCAAGCAAGGCCACGCTGAGGACTCTGACTCCATCAAAGACAGACTGGTAGGTAGGAGCAAGAGATGTTGGCCACAACCTTCAAACTGAATCCATCTAAGTTTTACAACATGGTAAACCATTTTTACAATTTTTTGTCATGTTGGCTTTATTTGTAGTGACGGTATAGATACAGAATGAAAATACACGGAGGGAAAGGGTGGTATGTAATAAAACCAACAGTCAGATACGTGCAGCCACTTGGCAAACTAAGTTAAACAACACATAAGCACAATATCGTTGACTGTGTCTCACATTCGACCAAGTTTTTTTCATTGTTTTTTTTGTGGTTAATTGAAAGGATAAAAAAATCATCATGTTGTCAACAAACTCCTGCTGTCTGTGATTCAGTGTGATGCATAGATGCTGCTTAATACTGAATTAATCAAAGTATGATGTTGGGAAGCTAAAGAAAAAGTTTCTGAAAGAGGTCTCCAATTTCCAGATAAGTCATTGGAGGTCCAGTGTAGGCCAACTAGAGAGAACCCAGTCCAGTAGGAATATTCCTGCTTTTTAGGACAACATTGGACAGCGTTGTCTGAAGGAGGAAGAACACCTACACTCTGAAAATAACTGCTTGAACAATATATTAATGCAGACTGATTTAAATTCACGTTCACATATAGACTTCCTCACTTCTCCATATTTAGTTTCTTGCTGTACGTCCTGTGTTGTTTGGGATGTGTCTGCATGAAACCTCATCTTAACTTTACAACATTTGGATTCATTGATGTGGTGAACATTGTACGCTGCCGTGGTATATAAAAGGACAGAGCGGCTACTGACATGTCTGCACATCTTGTCTGTATACTAGTTGATGTTCATCACATCAAATAATCCCTGTTGTATGTAATAAACAAAGTCTTACTGTGCTACACATATGTTACAAAGTGCCAAAAAAGGTTTCTCTACAGGGAACTGATCAAAATATGAAAGCCATTATTTCTAACATGATCAGTGAGCCGTGTGAACTCTGGGCTCTAAATTGAACCACTACAGCACTGTTCTTCCACCACAATGCTTTTAACTGCTGATGTCCATACATCTCTGTGATAGTTACTGAAAGGGTTCCGTGCGTCTTCTGCTCATTGTATGAGTGTGTCTGGCACAATGGCCATTTTCTATGAATATATATATGTCATGCAGTTAGTATTAATGCCATTTGCACACCAGCAGGGGATTTCAGGATGTTCATGGAAGATTATTGAAAATAATCTTAATAATTTATTTTACCAATATAATTTCTTCCCTTATTGAGATTATAATTACAAAAGGCATTCAACATTAAGACATGCCTGCTGCTGAGCCTACACTTTGTCTGCCGAAGGCACGAGAAGCCTTTGTGACCAAAGCGTAATTAATGAAGTTACACATGGTAGTCCGAGGAAAATAGACTTTTCAGTTGCAGTGCGGGCCAGTGTGGTTGCTACTGCTTTGCTGTTCCCTGCTGCTTTTCTATTGCTTCCACTGCCTCTATTCTTTCTTTTCAACAGATATGCATGTTGCATATCTGCCACTTGTATTCAATGGTGAACTTCCTCACAATCTCTGTTTCCTGAAACAAATACTCTTTGACATCTTTCTCTTCTTCCTCTGCCTCTTTTTCCTCAAGCCTGCACCAACTTTGGAAGAGATGGTAAGTTTGTGTGTTGATGTATTTTGCAGGAAATCCGACTTTCAAATAAGTAGTTTGGATTAACTATAGAATGTGTAGCTATACCCCCTGAGTCCTCTGAGTCTAACTCCAACCACTGCATCATTTAGAAAAAGGGGGAGGGGAGATTTGTAGAATTTTAATAAATGTGGTGAGAATGTCAACATTAATAACAGTAGAGTCATGTCATTAACTTTACAGCTCGAAACACTCATTTAAGAGTGCGTTAAGACGTCTTCCTGCCTACTAACAGCTAGAAAATCTATCATACAGAATTACAATTAACATTAATGCAAGTAAAACAAAAAAACTAACTTTTAGTACAAATGTCACAAATTGCTACGGGCAATTTTAGAGTGGCCAGTGAACCTAAAGTGCATGTGTTTGCTCTGTTGGAGTAGGCGGGAAACAGAGCCAGCACAGTGGTGCAGTGGACAGCACTTTACCCTTGTGATACAATTACAAAATGCATTATGATTCTGTGTGGGAAGGCGCCCTGCTTTCATGCCTGAAGGTTCCACTTGCAGAAGAAGAGACAAGCTGCTGGCTTCTGAATTTTTCCAGTAGGTGTGAGTGCAATGTGCACCTTTAAATGGTTAATTGACAACCATATTGAGCCCCCGGTATGATGGCTGGGTCACCATTCATGTCCTGCACCTGTCCACAGACAAGCTAGTGCCCATTTGCAAACGTGTAAATAAACCACCTGTACTTCGGTTTTTGTGACTTGTGCCAAGCAGCTCTTGGTCTGTTTGCCTCTGTAATCCTGGAGGCCAGGGACAAAGAGAAGAGAGATCTATCTTATTCGTGATGGCCTTTTTGCTAGCTTCTGGCAAGATTTCTGAGATTTTATTTGTTTGCACAATAAAACACAAACAAAAGATTAAAGCTGCAAGCAGCGATGTATGGGCCCTTGCACCTTCCTGCGTCTCATGGGTACCGGCGGGACGTCTGCAGACGCGGCCGCAAATGTCTTTGACCATCGGACAACACGTCCCGGAGTTTAACGTATTTTTTCCGCTGGACTCTGCGATGCTGGAAATTATGTAGTGCAAATATTCCACCAGTTCCTGTATCCACTATGTGGCGCTAGAGAACACACACAAACATGCATTGTTTTGCCCTACATCAAGTATAGACCACATCATGTAAATATCATGTAAATCGGATTACGTTTGTCACACAACGCTGACTTCCTGTTGCCAGTAGGTGGCGCTACGACTTTTAGTCAAAATTGGCTTGTAGACATCCTCAGGCCATGACTGTTATCAAGCATGGCAAGTTTGGGACAGATTTAACCAAGTCAACTTGTTGTTTAATGGCGAATCACGTACAGTGGCTGCTACTCCACGGCTACGCCATTCCATCAAACGTAAAGCTTTGAGTAACTTTTAATTGCAAAGGTCTTTAGATTGTACTCACCAAATTTCAAGTGGATCTGACAAAGTCCCTAGGAGGAGTTTGTTAAAGTATAGCGACTAGAAATCAAGGGAAAATTCACATAAAAATCTAAATGGCCAACTTGTTGTTAGTTTTAGAGCATGGTCCCAAGACACTTTTTTTTAAGTCTTCATGTGATATATGTTCCTACCAAATAACTGACAATATTCATGATGAAGCATCATCAATGTCTTAAAACAACGAAGGTCGTTCAATGTCAGTAGACCATTTTAGCAACTTTTCATCATTAATGTCTTTAGATCATCTTGACCAAATTTAAAGTTGATCGTATAAATTCTGTGGGAGGAGTTCGTTAAAGTACAATGCCTGAAAACGGTGAAAAATGCAAAGAAATGGGAGTATTACTGCATCGCCCCCTAGAGGTTGTATGGAATAAAGATTTGAGGGTATGTTACAGGACACATTGAACATATGCTATAGATTTCGTGATGATAGACCACATGGTTTTGAAGTTATATATATTGCTGTAGAAGGCCACACCCCTATGAAATTCATTGGTCCATGTACTGCTCTCTCTTTAGTAAAACTAAAACAAACAGAAGGACACAATGAGCAAGATGCATATGAATTACACACTACAAATTGAACTTTATGTATCTCCTATGCTTCTGTAGCATCCATCCATCCATCCATTTTCCTCCGCTTATCCGGGGTCGGGTCGCGGTGGCAACAGGCCAAGCAGGCTGACCCAGACTTCCCTCTCACCGGCAACATGTTCCAGCTCATTCTGGGGGATCCCGAGGCGTTCCCAGGCCAGCTGGGAGATGTAATCCCTCCAGCGTGTTCTGGGTCTTCCCCGGGGTCTCTTCCCAGTTGGACGTGCCTGGAAAACCTCCAGTGGGAGGCGTCCAGGGCTTCTGTAGCAGTCAAACGTATAGTGTAACAACAACTGGCTACGGATACAAAATTAACCTTTACAAATATACTTAAGAAGAAAGTATTACTAAAATACTATTCTGTGGTCTGCGCTAAACAAATACTTACAGACTGCTTTCGAAGGCGTAAACACATGATGGATGGCAGCAGATGATTTTCTGAGACCATCTACCTAAAACTACCACATGTGGCGAACTTCCTGTTCAAAAATAAATGCAAATTAACAACATAACCTAAAGGGCCCAGGAGGGGGCGCCAATTCCCCAGTCCTGAGGGCAGAACAGTCCATATATTCTTAATGCAATAAGATATCAACAAACTTTTCATAACTTTTGATGATGGATATCCAATAATGATTCACAGCAAATTTGGTACCAATCAGACCCAGGGTCTAGGAGTGAATTATTATTATTTTTTTTTTACAAAATTCAAAATGGCGGAACATTTTGGTAGGCCGAGTTTAGGGTCCCAAGAGGATTTTTTGTAGAACTCATTCAGTTGCTCATGTCCGTACAATTTTAAGTCATTTGGACATACGGGCTATTTGGGGCTTGCCTTTCCAGTTGGAAAGGCAAGCCCCAACAGCCCGTATGTCTAGGGGGTGCTAGCGAGCAATTTTGTCATGCTCGAGCAGGGGACCCATAAAATATCAAATTTTCCCGCATTCCTGATATGTTCAAACCCTTGGGGCATACAGCAGGACTCTCGAATCACTAAGCTTTTTAAGCAAATACAAAAGTCATATAATCAACTAAAGTAAAGAAACAAGCAAACATAAATCAAGATAAACAATATAATGAAAAGCTCCCGAAGATGATTGTGGGGAAAAAGGGCAGTCAGATGAGGTACTAGCTGGGTTAGCTTAGCTTATCTCGGCTCTTCCCCCTTTCGACTACGCTTTCAGTAGCGTTCGGTCCAGCATATCTGGCTTGGTAGTCGGCTGTGGACATGAGTTGGTGAAGACCAAACCACAGCTTAAAAGTGTGTGAATGTTGGATTGAATACTGTGACTTCTAGTGAATATTGCTTATTTATCTACACAATTCTTTTTGCAGACAGAAGCATGTCTCCAGATACACTTGGTGCTCAAACATAATCAAAGTTGTCCATTCCGTGTCGATGCCGGCCATATTATCTTGCCAGATAATTGTTTTGTTGCTGCTGTTTAAATTCCTCCTGATGAAAATTCCAAAAATGCACTACTGCTTTTGTTTTGTTTTTGTACTGTTTTTCTTGTGTAGCAATGGGCTACAGATGCATTTCCTTCTGCAATCCTGTGTTGGATAATGAAAATGAGTGATCCTATGAATTAATGCCAATGTCGCTCCATGTCAGCTGGATGTGTATAGGCATGCCAACAAATTCACCATGAAAACGTTATGGCGATTTTATGTTATTGCTGTTTATTGCTACTTGCACTCTAACTTGGACAAAAAAACTGTTAATTCAGCTTTAACAAGTATATATTACTATTAAGCTTTAGATGAAATTCTAAAAGCAGATAAATGAATCTGAACAAGGACTCAATAAGTTGAGATCCTGGTATACTGGGAATTCTGGCCAAATCGATTCCCTTTTCCGACTGCCAAAGCCAGCTACTGATCATTATTTCAGTAATAGCAGTGGATTGGCTTTTCAACTACAGCTTATTTTGGAAGCAATATGTTTAAATCACAAGAAAACAAGGATGTGAGAGAGTAATCTTATTTGGTTCACTTACTCTACAACAACTAGTAATACATGAATTGACATTGCTCAACTTATTGGTAAGATAAAACTCAACATGAAATTAATTATAACAGCTAAGTGCTTGTGTATTCGGCTACTAGCGATTGGAACAGAATTTTCACTCATCTTGCTTATAATGCTTGGTGTGTTGTGTAGGTGTGTGGTGTTCACATGTGATGTGCTTGTTCCAGGAGCAGGAGCTCGAGGTCAGCAAGAAGGAGAAATTAGCAGAGGCCAGGCTGGAGGCAGAAGTGAGACTATTTAAGAAGGAAAATGAGGCTCTTCGCAGACACATGGCAGTACTGCAGGCCGAAGTGTATGGAGCCAGACTGGCTGCCAAATACTTGGACAAGGAACTAGCTGGCAGGTAAGGAGTTTGAGATCACAACACCTTCAGGCTAAAGTTGAGGGTTTTCTGAGAACACGGCAGAATGAAATTATCAACAAACACAGCACTGTAATGACTAGGGGGGGCTCATCATGTACACAAATACATGTGTAATAATCAAACATACTCCACAAGCTCAGTAATAGCGGCCTTCCAATTCTTGACAATTTATTGGACAGCATAGTTAATCTGCTGAGTGTTAAATACTAGGGGTGGGAATCACCAGAGGTCCCGCGATACGATATTATCACGATACTTAGGTCACGATATGATATTATCACGATACTGCGATATTCTGAGTATTGCGATAACATAGGCCTATATTGCGATTTATTACTTTTTTCAACTTCAAATTATGTCCCCAAAGGAAAACGGTGTCAACATGTTTTATCTAATAAGATAAAGTTTTCAGTCTGTTCATCTCACTTCAATCATTTTTATTGCAGCAAAATAGGATTGTCAAGCAGACAGACTGACCAACAATGTCATAAATGTTGCATGAACCTGACAAACTGAACTGTTTGTATTACTACATAGTCCAACTTAACTAAATGCAAACGTGTGGACTCAGTATATGAACTATAACGTATATAAGTAGGATATAAGAGTTATATAACTCAGTATAACTTGCGATGCGTGGACGTCAAGAGCAGAGAGACAGTTATGCGCTGCACTCTCCCCATGAGCCTGGCTACTGTTGGCAGATTTAACCCCGTTGTGAGGCCAGATGTCTCTCTTTTTTTTTTCTTTTTATAGTTTATAATAAAAGATCGATACTTGGCGTCCGTGTATCGATACAATATCGCCACGCAAAATATCGCGATACTATGCTGTATCGATTTTTTCCCCAACCCCTATTAAATACCCATTAGTGCACACACTGGTAGGATCCATTTAAAATACAAGGTCTGCTTGCAGGTGGAAATGCTGTCAAGTGATAGCTCTTTCTGCATGTGATAGCTCTTTCTGCATGTGATAGCTCTGTCTGCACGTGATGGCTCTGTCTGCACGTGATGGCTCTGTCTGCTTTTCAACTACAGCTTATTTTGGAAGCAATATGTTTAAATCACAGGAAAATAAGGATGTGAGTGAGTAATCTTCTTATTTGGTTCACTTACTTTACAACAACTTACTTGAGTCCAGAGCACTCGAGTGTAATAAGGCGGAGGCCATGGCTAATATATTTCTTAGTGGTGTTGATAAAAATAAATAACTAATGCAGATTATTTTTAAAAGGATGTAGCAGGCATCAGCACATAACTACATGAAATATGTTTTTTGTCACTTGGACAAGCACTTTGACATTTTGACAGCCTTAATGTTTTGATTGGTCCTCCAGGGTTCAGCAGATCCAGTTACTGGGCCGTGACATGAAAGGGCCAGCACATGACAAGCTGTGGAACCAACTGGAGGCAGAGATTCACCTTCACCGTCATAAGACTGTCATCCGAGCATGTAGGGGGCGCAATGATCCGAAGAAACCTCTTCTCTCTCCAGTGGGGCATGTCAGTGTAACGCTACAAAACAGATGAAGCTATGGATACCTTTCTTTGTGTTTCCCAAGTTTAATGTGTTAATGTAATTTTAGGACCCAGATATTTTGAAGAAGAGCCAGGGAGTTGGCCCTATCAGAAAGGTGGTGCTAGTCAAAGATGATCATGAGGGACTTGGAATCTCCATTACAGTAAGAAGGGTTTTTCTTCCTTAAAAGTTGAAAATGGACCCAGCCAGCAATTCAATACATTTGATGAGATGTTCACGCAACAGGGAATAAATATCACAATATGACACTAATGTGAATAGATCGCAGGGACGGTGTGCTTCTAACTGCTCTAATGCCTGTTCCATACAGATCATGGCGGGGCACAGTACCAGCTGACCCTCACTGACTTTTATAACCTTATGTACCTCAAACTATGACGCCCAAAAAGCAGCTAACTACCTCTGCCCCAGCAGTGGACAAAGTGAATTATCTGGTCTTGTTATTGAGAGAGTGAAGTCCATCAAGTACCTGGTTGTACACATTGATGAAATTATAAACCATATACAGTCATGTCGATGAACTGACAACAAAATGGTCCAAATATGCCTGCTTGTTTTACAGGTTGAGGTGTTTTTTTTCTTCAATTTTAAGCACATTTGAGCACCCTCATATACATTATTGTAATGATATATGGTCCCTAGGTATCTCACAGATTTTACAGCAGATTGACAGCTCCCACTGTGTAATGTAGTGTTGTATATATGCTCAACAACAGACTCGGTGAACTTTTTGTGGCTTGCTTTCTCTCAAATACATACAAGACTAGGAAAGACCATCTTATAAAGGGTAAAAAATGTCCTCGTGGTTTGCAGAGGGGCTTAAGGTAGCAGTTGCTACAAAGATATGTTGCCTGATTTTGATTTGTACTGTTGTCTCCACTTATTAGTGTATCGTATCTATGTAGACTGATGGAATAAATATTAGTAGTCAGGCTTTAGTTATTTTGAAGTTTTTCTGTAGGTTGTGAATGTTGCTGTATAAAACATTCACTTTTTCAAATTCAATTCAATTTATTTGTATAACCCAAAATCACAAATTAGTCTCAGAGGGCTTTACAATCCGTACACATACGACATCCTCTGTCCCAGGACCCTCACATCAGAACAGGAAAAACTTCTCCAAAAAAAACTTTAACAGGGAGAAAACAAAGGAAGAGACCTTAAGGAGAGCAAGAGAGGAGGATCCTCTATCAGGATGGACAGAAGTGTGATAGATGTCATGTGTACAGAATGAACAACATAACAAATCTAGACAAGGTGTAAACTTGTATTGTAAATGCAATCTGCTGAGTGTTTGGACACATATTCTCAAGCTTTACATAACTAATCACGTTACTCCATTGTGTCTTATGAATAAACTGAACTGAGTATTTTGATAGTAAACAATAACATAAGAGTGGCAGCAAGGCACTGCTATTGGTTGGTCAGCACATCTCTCACATTAATAAAAACATTCCTGGCATCACCATACAATACATCTGGCTAAAAAGAGTTGCATGTGTTCTGTGACTAGGGTGGGAAGGAGCACGGAGTTCCCATTCTAATCTCAGAGATCCATCCAAGCCAGCCTGCAGACAGATGTGGAGGTCTGCACGTCGGAGATGCCATCCTTGCTGTCAACAGCATTAATTTGCGAGATTCCAAACACAAGGAGGCTGTCACCATTCTGTCCCAGCAGGTATAGCAGGCACACACACACACACACACACACACACACACACACACACACACACACACACATACAAAGAAACACACTACTAACACAACACCTATTCCCTCAAAGTGCTCATTCATGGTGTCTGTGTCAGCGAGGACAGATAGAGTTTGAGGTGGTGTATGTGGCTCCAGAGGTGGACAGCGATGATGACAATGTAGAGTATGAAGACGACAGTGGCCATCGTTACCGACTCTACCTGGATGAACTGGATGACAGCAGCTCAGCATCCCTGCAGGGTAAGTTTGTATGTCTCAAGCATGAACATTTCTTTTGTTCAATAATAAGGACTTAGTTGGGTTAGTATCTTTAAAGTTTCTTTAAGTTTGACAATCAATAATCACTTACTCACTTAATTCTTATACATATGAGTCTGTGTTCACCCTGTAGCTCTGGAAAAGATGTCCTTGAGCAATGGAGGAGAGAACAGAGACACTGGGATCTCCAGTGAGACGACTGCAGAGGAAACCCCTTCAAAGCCTCCTGAGACTGACTGCTCCTCCTAGAGGCTCACCTTCGCCGTTGGCATTTGGAGATTTAACGAGAGGATTGGTTGGAAAATCCCTCTCAAAGAACTGAAGCAGAAAATTGTATAACAAGCATGAGGACATGGAAAATAAACCGAGACGGTCTTGACAACAATTTGAGGACACTTTATGTCCTACAGGGACCTGGTAGGGGCCAGGGAATCATCTTTTACAAAAAAGAAAAAATCTGTCAACAACATTCTCTATCATTGTAGCGAGCAAAAGTGAGGCCACCCATGCTCCATCACATGACATGTTCAATCGGCCTGAGAAACCCTGCAAACGAGAGCCCTGGTAGCTCACAATAGTGTGTGGTATGTTATTTGTTCAGTGGGTCCTTGTCGAGACATAAAGCCCTTCAGAGCCAGCATTAAGCAAAACAATCAAACAATGAAAACTATGCTGTTTGTCCGTTTTAGGCTGAAGGGAGCAAGTTCTCTTCCATCTTCTAGATAGTTTTAATAAAAGTGACAAATAGCGTTCCAAGTCCTTGAGGACATTGCCCTGAAAACCTCGTCCTGGTATGGAGTCCTATTTCTGAGTCGGGGACTGTAGGTCAAAGTAGACCCGTTATTCCGCCATAGTTCTTTAACCTTGTTCCATCACTAACATATTTTGCCATGTCGCTGTATGTAGAATATGGGGGGGTACTCAAGTATGATATGCAATCATTCTTAGCAACGTGTTGCTCAATACTGTATTTAGTTGTTGCTTTTTTCATTGTGTCACATTGCAGTCTGTTACACCTCACATCATTTAATGCAGTAGAATACAACAAAGCACAAACTACTGTAAAGTGGATTGAGAGTGTCTCACACAGATCCATTATGGTGCCCAGCTTTTGTCTGTGTTGTCACCAGTGACAGTGAGGGAACCCTGAGTACGCCATGACTCTGTGACCTTCCAGCAGTCACTTTCTTTACCTGCTTTTTGTTATTCAGCTTCCTTGATACTTGCTTTGTCTCTCCTAACTCTTCACACATCTGATGTGCATCTTTATAGGTAATGTATTCCATTTATTGAGCCTTTAAATAAAGTTTGGTTCCAGTTTGGTTTATTTGTAATACATTTGGAGTATTATCTTGCCTTTTTTGTCATCAGTTTCTTTAATCTCAGTTTGGAATTTAATTATAATTCTAACTAGACTTGCAAGCAAGCATGACGGGGACCAAGCTCCCCCAAACTACTGGCACTCGTGTTCAGCTGTGGAGCAGCTGATGAAATTATCACCTGTAAAATAACGTTAAATAGTGTAAATAGTTTCAAATAATCTTCTAATTCTGGGCATATATCACCAAGTACAATCTTAGTTTTCAGATATTTTTTGTCTTGTGAAAACAACTTTATTTATACATTTATGGTTTATTCCATAGGGACAGATACAACATAATGTACACAGACAAACTTATCAGAGCACACTGGAGTCACCATGGTGATTGTCACTCACTATGCCTTCTCCAGTCACCTCACCTTCATCTTCACTACCTGCACATGAGGATTGTGTAAAATAGCAAAGTGCGGAAATAAGGCCAGTGACAGCTCTCGCCCAATCACTCTATAAACTCATTATCAGTCCTAATCTCTCCAGGTTCTCCGGCATCCTCCTACAGTCCAAAGACATGCGGCTTAGGTTCATTGATGACTGTAAATTTCCCATAGGTGTGGATGTGAGCATGAATGGTTGTCTGTACGCAAGGTTTTATAAATCAGAATTTTTTTGGGTTACGTACATTTGTACATAAATATCTAGTGTATGCACTGTTTTATAAATGAGACCCCTAAAAACTATCAGCATCACTGTCTGAGGGCCCTCAGACAGTGCACACTGCCAGGATGTGATCCAGCCAGGAACAAATATGAACCCAAGCAATAAAGAGGTTGGATGGGTTACTTGTAATGGTTGATATTGAGGGGACAGTGCCTTTTGGGCTTTTTTTTCACTTATCTTTGATCACAGTTAGTTGGTATCATTACCATTTACTAGCGCTTGCTAGCTTACGTTACTTTTGCCTGCCTGGAGTGTCAATTGGTAAACAAACCGGCCATTCCGAGGGCGCCTTTGCGTCCTCTTCTATTAATAGAGGTCCCATTCGAGCAAATCGTCATGGACCTCATCGGGCCATTTCACCATAGGGCCCTTTGTGGTCACACAGTGAGTGGGGGATGTCCACTATGAGGTGGTGTGTTCTGACAGGGGCGGAGCGTCACAGATCTACCACCACAACCTCCTAAAAGCATGGAGAGAGGCTGAGTCTGTTTCTCTGGTGTCTGCGGTATCTGAGAGAGAGGAGCTGGGGCCTGAGGTTCCAAAATCCACCAATCCGACCTCGCTCCTTTGTGAAGCCCATCTCTCCGGGACCCAGAGAACAGACGTTGCCCAGTTGCAAGAGCAGTTTGCTGATGTGTTCTCCCTCCTGCCAGGACACACGAACCTCATAGTGCACCAAATTGAGACTCCTCCGGGCGTGACGGTGCGGTCACGACCCAACAGGTTACCTGAACACAAAAGAAAAGTGGTTCAGAGGGAAGTGTCGACTATCCTGGAGATGGGGGTAATAGAGGAGTCCAACAGTGCCTGGTGTAGCCCCATTGTTCTTGTTGTCAAGAAGGATGGATCTATACAGTTCTATGTGGACTATCGCAGGGTAAATGATGTGTCATGTTTTGATGCGTACCCAATGCCCTGGGTCAACGAACTTCTGGACCGACTGGGCACTGCTCGTTTCTTTACGACACTGGATTTAACCAAGGGCTACTGGCAGATTCCTCTGTCGGCAGATTCCTCTGTCACCAGAGTCCAGGGAAAAAACGGCCTTCTCCACTCCGTTTGGTTTGTACCAATTCCCCACACTTCCCTTTGGATTGTTCAGTGCCCCAGCCACTTTTCAACACCTCATGGACTGGGTGCTGCGTCCACATGCTGCCGCCTACTTGGATGATGTGATCATCCACAGCACCACCTGGGCGGAGCATGTGCAGCGGGTGGGCGCGGTGCTGGAGTCCCTGAGGCAGGCTGGGCTCACCTCCAACCCAGGGAAGTGTGCAGTTGGACAGAGGGAGTTACTGTATCTGGGGTACCACTTGGGCCGCCAGATGCGCAGGTGCGCCCTCAGGTGGACAAGACTGCTGCTATCGCAGCCTCCTTGCAGCCCAAGACTAAAAAAGAGGTAAGGGGGATTTTGGGGCTGGCGGGTTATTACAGACGGTTCATCCCGAACTTTGTGGATCTGACAAGCCCCTTGAGTGACCTGACCTGGAAAGACTCCTGGACGTTAGCCTGCGGTGGAATGTAAACACCGATCAGTATGAATGAAGCAAACTCACGGGGGGAGTAGAAGGGTTTACAGTTTATGATGAAAGATTCCAGATCAGGAGACCAGTGCTGCAGAACCACTGTCACATCGTTACACCAGCCACTGTTGGTATAGAAACAGATTCCTCCACCCTTCGATTTGCCGGAGATCTCCGTTTCGCAATCCGCTCTGAACAGCTGGAAGCCTGCCAGCTGGAGCGCAGAGTCGGGTATATTCCACAGAACCAGGTCTCAGTAAAGCACAAAACAGAGGATGAAGAAAAGTCTCTGTCTCTCCTCACCAGTAGCTGAAGTTCATCCAGTTTGTTGCACAGTGAGCGCACGTTGGAGATAAATATGCCTGGCAGCGGTGTACGAGAACCACGTATGCGGAGACGCACGAGCGCACTGGCCCGTTTCCCTCTCCTACGGCGTTTCACTGCATGGGGTTAAGGTGAGCGCACCTTCGACGAGAATGTCCAGTAATTCCACAGAAGTTAAAAGAAAAGTTGGAAGTAAGTACGCTGGAGTTGTACCCCTGATGTTTATGAGCTCATCTCTGGTGAAAGAGCTCCGAGTATCACAGTAGAAAACTGAATTTACAACAAAAAATAACACAAAACAATGCGCACCAACACACCGAGGCAGAGCCTGGCGGTTCATCTCAGCGGTCAGAGGGACAATGGGTTTCAGCTTCATCTTGATGTAGATTTTCTATTGATAACTAATTTTTCAAGTATATCAAAGATGTTATTTCCCACGTAGACAAGTTTGCAGAGTTACTTGTGATTAGCTGGATAAAGCGGTAAAGAGTTCATATTTAGAAAAAAATTATAATCTGTAAAAACTAGCATTTGAACATGTTGGTGACATGACATTAGTATGACGAAGGTATATAGGATGTTTATGATGAATATCTAAGCTTTGTGGGGCGACTGTGGCTCAGAAGGTAGTATGTGTCGTCCCTCAATCAGAAGATCAGCGGCTAGATCCCCAGCTCCTCTAGTCAATGTTGATGTGAATGGGCAAGTGGCACCTTGCATAGTAGCCCCTGCCATCAGTGTGTGAATGGATGTGAATGGGTGAATGATGACATGTAGCGTTAAAGAGCTTTGAGTGGTCGGAAGACAAAGCTCTATACAAGTACAAATCCATTTACCATTTACTTTGTTATTCAGCCTCTCAAACTCAGCAGACCATTGTTACCTTATCATTCAGCTGCTGCCCCACCACATCCACCTCTAGTATATTTGATGTTAACAATTTCTGCATGCCAACCCATGACAATATCTTTTTTCTCTGAATCTGCATGCTGATGAATGCTGTTATTGTAGTAAGTAAAAATTCGATGAATGATTTGAGCGACCCAGGAACAACTTGATACCCCTGAAAAAAACAACAGTGGCCTTTGTTTCCAGCGAGGAGATAAGGGTGTTTGAGCGGTCTGAACCAGGCTTAGGTTAGCGCACAGCTAATTCACAGGCTTTAAATGGCAAAAGCTAAAATACATGATTAAAATAATATTCGGTTTGAAAGGTAAAAAAAATTAACATTAGATTTACATCATTCAATTAACTGTAATTATTACATGATCTGACACATTCTGTTAAAACCTTTTAAACTCCCAGCCTATTTTTGGGCCTCTGCTCGAAAATTGCATACCCATACTAAAAAGAGTGTATTTCTGTAACTACAAGGTCTATTTTAATAATGTTGATGTTATAATACAGGTAACACTTGTGAGATTTGTTCTGATGTGTAAATATCAGTGTATATGTTACTGGTTAAGAGTAAATGAAGATGGCACTTTTATTGTTTTTATTTATTTGGAATGATGCAACTGCAAGCCTGAAAACACTCCCAACTCATAGCACAATATGTGAACAGTCTCTGTGCAAGGTTTGACTTTGAGAAAGTGAAGCAGAACAAATTTAGTTTTAGTACAGAGAGGTCAGGCGAGGTCAACCAAATTGAAATTTTGGAACCAGCTGTTCCATTGTAATTTTATAAACTGTATAACTGTATATTTCAATTGTTTTATCACTAATAGTGTTCAACCTATCCAAATACAGCAGTTTGGCATCATTTTGAGAGCCTGAATCCTCTCTGAGCCTGTTTCTGTCTGTCATCCATGGGATTTTCTTGTCTAAATTTCAGTTTCCCTGTGTGTATGTGGGCCTATCTCAGCCTATGATTGGTCGATTTCAGTCAATGAACCCTCCTTGGTCCTCAGAGTCCATACAATTGAGTGGGGGTAACGTGTGATTGACTGACAGAATCGTTAGCCAGTTAGAATCAAAACCGCGCCATCCCTCGCGGAGCGTAAAATTCCATTCGCCGAAAGTCAAATCCCTACCCCCTGGTCCCCTAAGTTAGAGTGACCCCCCTTTCTTCAGGAAACAGTTCAGAGACACAACAGGATATACGTTGAACACATATTTGAGTCTAAATAAGCGGGGATTTATCCGTTCTCTTCACGAAATCCGCTCACGGTGAGGTGCAGTTATGATTTTTAGCGGTGAAGCGGTTTGTTGTTCTGGTGCTTGTTTGCTCACAGCTCTGTAATGGTTTCACAGAGAGAAATTCTGAAGATATCTTTGGAATCTGTGTGTTATTGGCGTGCTTTCTGCTATTTCGGTTTTCCGTGTTAGCCTTGAGCTTCTTCTTCTTAGCGCCTACCGGAGTGTGCGGTCGGCTCAGCAATGGCAAAAAAAGAGTGATATTGTGGTAATTGTTTTAGATGTCGTGTAAAATTGTGTTTGGAGTGTGTAAAATG